ACCCTAGAGGCTCTCAACTCTCAAGATCCCGTCACAGGAGGCGGCAAGTACGACGCAAAGGAACGCAAATGCAAGGGACACACCCGCAAGGCAACCCTACGGCCAGATCCACGATCTAGGCCCCGGATCCATAAGCTCGAATATTCGCTTAGGATTCGGAACAATCCACGGACGCAGAGTGAAGATTTTCCACTGCTGCTCCACCCCATCCCCACGTCTCGCCAAGACACTCAAGCTTCACCACTTGAGCTCTTCGGAAGTTACCGAGAGAGCAAGATCCCGCCCTACCGACGGGTACACAAGGTGAGGAAAGTTCAGCAGAACACGGATCATCGGGGGACCCCCTCCGTTAGTCGATGTCTGGGCGCAGTTGGTAAGTTGGATCTGGCAATCTCGCAGATTTTGCTGATCCCGCTACACCACATCAATGTTCATTCTGAGATGGATACGATTGGTTCAAATGAGCTCATATGTGAATTTGTATGCACACGGATTTGGAGTAATTGACACGACAATGGATTTAATTGTTTTTACTGATATACCACTAGATTAAGCTCCGTTTGCGCCTTTTCTAGTATATTTTTAAGTTTAATTCTGATTATTTTCTCCGTCAAAGCGAAAAAACTTCACCCCTCCATAAAGTGATAGTTCAAATGGTCAGGTATTGGCAAAATTGGCGGGAAATTTGTTTAAAAATCGTGCTGACGCTACGTAAGTAGAGCTTTCAAACTAGCTCAACCACGCTTCCGTTGGAGCTGTACGATCGAAGTTATCGCCGATTTAAAGAGCTGCTAAATCTTTTTCGGACCAGACAAGTAGTAATTCAAGCAAAAAATGTTGTCTCACTCCGACCGTATTTTACAATACGCTACCACACGAACCGTAAGCTCCTACACATCTAGAATTTTAAATTTGTTTAAGAAGGTAATACGATTTGAGCGAGGTTATCGTTTTCTTTCACCGGAAAGATTGTTTCTTTCAAAAGCTCACAGCTACAATTTTTCAGCGAGCTCACCAACTGCAGCGACCACCGCCCGAGGGCACTATACTTCGTCGCCGCGGCGGTAAGTGAGCTGCTGCGGTTATCGCCGCTCTTTCTACATGATACGTCTACTCTTCTGCTCGTCAACTTGTCGTCCACTTATTTACCTATCTCCGCTCTGCTCGGGGAAGTTTTGGGCCAATAGGAGTAAAGTGAGCTATATTTGGTTCCGTACACCACGTTTTTATCAGCTCATACACATGCCAAGCCTTTACTGTGGAGTGAAACCTGTGAAGTTTATACAAATTAGTAGGAAAATAAGACCTTCTCATTTGCAATTTGTATAGAATCGATACCTACTATTGGTGTGAGCACATAATCTCGAATTAAGGGCTGTACGTACTACTGCTCGTAGCGCTACACTGTCTACGGTAATTAGTCTTACTGAGACTATTTCATGTGTTAAGTCTGCATGTTTAGTTACCATAATTAGCATGACTTAGACTATTTATTGACAAATACAATTTATTTACTCTAAAATTGTATTATTAAAAAACAATGGTTGAGCAGGGACTCGTAACACGAAGAGGCACTGACGAATCGGCCGATTTGGGATCAGTTACTAACTTGTTTAGCTGTGACAAACTAACGCGTCAGTGATTCGCATTAACAGGCTCACCTTCAAAGTGCACGATATGTTTCTTAATGATATCCTGGAGATGAGGATAAAGCTGCTTAACTGACCACACACCGTCTAATCCAAGCGACAACCCACACCGTATCATCGCCTTACGCGTGTAGGGCATACCGTTCTTGTCTTTTTGAAGGTCGACTGATTTCACCACCTCTGCAGCAAGTTGCAGGAAAACCTTCTTGCCTGGATTTTGAAGCTTCCCGGACCACGAACCATCCTTCCGTATCTTGTTTTGCCAACTGCTTTTCTTAATCAATTCCATCTTCTTCTCGTTCCACTTGACCTTCAACGCGTCCTTTATCTTATAGATTACGAATGAGTCCGCTGATTGACAGAGGTCTGTCGCGTTTGGAGGGAAAAAATTGAGATCAGATTTGATAGCATCAAGTTCGGCACGGCATTCCCGAGCTTCCAGGTGGCCAAACCATTTATCAAGGAAGATAACTTTCTTCCGTTCACCCACGTCTGTATGCATCGCTCGTCTCTCTTTGAGATATTCTCGAACCAACTTTTGCGTCATCCATCCCTTTTTGCTCGAGCGATAGCATACACCGGGAAATTTGTCTGAAACTCCGTGGATAGGGTAATTGCCACTTGAGTTCAAGAATCATCATTGGTGGGTGTATCCGCGCACTCGGTCCGCCAGACAGTCTGACTATCATCGTCATTCCTTCTCCTCCTGACACTACGTCGGCATATTTGACAGTATTGTCACCACAAAATCTGAGTATCTTACCGTTGTCGAAAATCACGACAAAGTGAGTTTCGTCGATGTTCTCGATTGCATTTTTCATCGAGCGCTCCGTCTTCAAAACCTCGCTGTAGTTCACCCGGATGGAGCGCCATTTCTTTCTCTATGTGCAAAGTCTTTGCCTCGCTGAGCTGTCTCTTCCCAGTCTGAGATCTGATAACGATATGATGGGCCTCCAAAATGCTTTGATCCCACCGCGAAGTTATTAGTCAAGGATGAGCTCACCTTTTGAGTCGAATGAGAGGGTCCAATGATGCTACGGATGATATCCTTGGCCAGCTGCAGCGGCTCAAATTTTACGCCAAGTTTGCGAAGTCTGTCAAATTCGTCTAACATCAACGGGTACAGCCCCTCCACCCGCGCACTCCTTGGCCTCCCGCGTCCCCCAATAACTTTTGCATTTATACGCCGTCTTCCATCACATCGACGCGCTGAAATGCGACTGAATCGCGCTCTGCCTTCAATATGCGCTCTGGTATCCTTCACCAGTCTAAAGCCTTGGCTAAGTTAGTCGCACGGGTAGCCGAGTTGAAAATAGCTGGATATTTGTCTACAGTCCTTGCGTACATGCATTTAACTCCACTTGTCGCCTCGTACGCTTTCATCCAGCGTACAACGTTTCGACGGTGAGCAATACTGCTTACGGATTGTGCGTGGCGCAAAAATTGACTTGACTGTGAAGGTTTCTGCTGAAACGAGTCAAATTCAACGTCGGAATCACTGTCCAGCAACACCACGGCGTCTGCCATGATATTTAGTGCTGAGACGTTATCTGGTGCATCTTGGGTCTCTTGGTCAACGTGGTCACATTTGAGACAAACCGCACATTTACCGAAGCCTTCACTTCCTGTGGGACGTCCACAGAATGTGGCGGAAGCAGTCTGGACAACGATGAAATGGACCAACAGGCTGGTCGCAGCCCCCACACGGCGCAGTAGCCTTGGTGGTAGACATCATGTACGAGCTTGTAAAACGAAAATGAAGACGTAGAATTAAAAGAGGGCGTTCTGTAGACCCTTCCCCGTCCAGTCCTTCACCCCTATCACCTAAGCGGAGGTACCATCAGACACTCTATAAGCGCAGTAAAAGTGGTCATGTCCTATATATGCTCGGCACTTCGAGAACCACGAGCACCAAAACCAACTGATTTGAAAACAAACCCAGATTAGATCTAAGCCCCTTTACCCATTCGACCAGATATGACTAAATACGAATAGGAGCTATAGTATTTTGCTTGAGCACAAAATGGTCTGACCTAGACTATTTCTTTAGCTTAGACTTTTTTTGCACACAGACTAATTACCGTAGACAGTGTAAGTCGATCAAATGCAGTAGTTTTTTACTTGATTTTGGCCACTCACGGCGAAAGCTTGATTCCTTGTCCGATTTCGTCCGGACGAAATTGACAATAGCTCGATTTACCAGCCACTACATGTACGGTACCTACTTGAGCTGTCGACGTCGACGGATCCGGACGTCTTTTCGGACACTCGACTACCGACGTCTGATCGGTGTCAGTCGACGTCGTGCCCGACATCTCGCTCCGTAGCATACACCGATTGCTTAAAATTCCTTTGGCGAATCAACGAGCGCACAATACATTACCTCATTGAAGCTGGCAGCTTCATGCACTTGCCTGGAGTCTCCACCGGAGCTGCTGAACCGTACTGGCGTTGAACTCTGACACAATGAACAGCGAGTCCGATGGTGATGGCAGCTTCTTTGCGTCTCGCAAAGAACGAATTCTCAGCCACCGAGTCGACAGAGACCACAATCAGCACTGAAAAAGCGAGCATCAGCTCCTCTGCGGCCAAGATCACCCCCCAAGAGATCAAGACGCATGCTCAGTTCACCTTCTCCCGTGGCGGCCAGGCCTATTCAAGTAGAGACTACGTGACCTACAACGAGCTGCCAGGCATACGACACTGCCAATATCCGATCATGTCCTGCAGGAAGAACGTTTGCCCCTCCAAAACGATCGCAGCAAGTAAAGGCACTTTGGCAGTTTATAGTTTGTGTCGCTCACGATGAGTATGGTAGTGTCCCAAGAAGTGCGCTTAAGCCTGACACAGTCCGCGATATTATTTTCATGTGAAGCGTCTGATTCTGCGAATGCGAAGATCAGAAGACGCCATTTCCTTTAGGAAATTACATGTATGAAGTCTACATACTTTTGGTCAAAACGAGCCATCAACTACGGCAATGAGGTTAGTTCGTCATCGCAATGCCTGTTATAGTTTCAGTCGGCGGCGACGTAGTGGGTGGAGCCGTAGTCGGAGCTTCTGTGGCTGATGTAGGAGTAGAAATAGGAGCATCACTTAGTGGCGACGTCATGCCTGGAGTCGTTATCGTTGTAGCTGGCGGTGTAGTAGGCCCTTTGGTTGGAGGTGATGTCGTAACCGAAGGCGTAGTAGAACCTTGTGTCGGATATGACGTAAAAACCGGAGTATTAGGTGGTGCAGTAGGAGCCGCTGGAAGTGATGGCTGTAGTTGGGGCTGACGTGGTCGTTGAAGTCTACATCGACGTAATCGCTTGAGAAGTGTCGCCACTGGTAGGGAACTGTGACGTGCCGTCAGTACACGCATCGGCGGACAGCGACGACGTATCCTCCAATATGTAGCGAAATACCAACGGAACCCAAGTCCGCGACGCTCGTGCCGCTCCCATCAATCAGTAAGTAGTAGGTCGAATTGATCACCACCGTCTCCTGCCCGTTGATCGACAGAATCTGCACGCCCGACACGAAGTCCGTCGGCTCCACCGCCACCCAAAACGCCCTGCTGCCGTCTTGAAACAGTACTGCGCGTTGCTGGAGATCGAGTTGTCCACGAAATTCCGCGCGATACTCAGCTTCGTGTACGACGGGACCGTGATGCATTCGGCGGCAGGCCCAGTTCGCCGTACTCGCCGTAGTGGTGGGTCCGCAGATGCAACCGGGCGATTGGATAGAGGTCGACGCGGACTTCTGGTCGACACTGCAGACGGAGCCATTACTGACCTTACTACGTGTAGTTCGCTTGGACAGCGTGAGCACTAGATGTCGTTCGTTCACATATCGCATCTGGATTAGATGAAGACGCAGCCGGTAGCGAAGGTGCTGGGAGCGCTACGGACGTCCGCGCCATTGTAGTCAGCGCTGTTCTCCAACATCGGGCACGTCAGAGACACCTGAAGAGTGCCAGAAACGACGCCGATGCTGGTTTTAGTGGAGGCTCTCGTGTCCTGAGTACACTGTACAGTACTCACGGTTCTGGTCAGCCGGAGAGTTTGAGTACGTCTTTAAATCGAAATAGTGACAAGATAGAGGGGTGTCAGATCAACATCTCTTACCTGACACCGAGACGTCGACAGCTACTATCGACATGTCCGTTTTACATCCTTTTTAAATAAAACGGCCTCGATTTATTATAAATCGAGGTGTGACAAGCACAATCTCTCGTTTCGAGTTAGTGTACACCACTCTAAATCAACAAGTTTCGTAAAAAAAAGAAATTGCAGCATGAAGGTGTCGAAGGCAATCGTGGCTCTCGCGGCGCTGTGCATGGCGCTATTGGCCCCCGCAGCGGGCAGCAAAGAACTCACAAACATCGACGGTGATTTGAATAACCGTCACTTGCGTCAGGAGAGCGCTGAGCTTGCTACTACGCCTGAAGAGATAGGAGTGAAGAAGGACTCGAACAACCCGCTGCAACGTCGCGATCAGGCCCTGGTATCCGCCCACCGCGTGTACGATCCAGTATCGGGGCTGGCCTGTGCGCTTGTGGGGGATTGTATGGCGTGTCCGACGTCCGAGAAGGACGAAACCTTTTGTCGCGAGACAGGATATCGCCAGGAGCTGGACTGTCCTCGACCGAAAGACCCTAAGGACGCAGCGCTCCTTACCAAGCCAGAGGATGAGCGTGAGATTAGGTTCAAGGCGTGCTCGCCTGCAGATACAGCTCGGCCAGGCGTTGAGGTGGTGAAATTTGAGGTAAGGAATGTGTTGTCGTGACTTCTACAGTAGAGGATAGAGAATTGATGCATTCGGTATGTAATGCAGGCGCTGATGTCAGTAATACTAACGGTGTCGGTTTTATTGCTCCGACGTGAGCGAGGGAACCATATGAGCTCGTTTGACCTACGGAAAGACCCACGACAACGTACAGGGTTGCTGGGCGGGTCTAGTGACAAGGGCTCCGACTAAACGTGCCATTAAGTTAGTACAGCGTAATGCCGCATTAGAATAGAAAACACGGTCGAAATTCGAGTGTTTTAAACAGAAAGCAATGTATTCATCTTGACATCTAAGGAAGTTTCTACTTCCTCGCTCGCTTGATCACTCGAGCCCCAGCTGCCAGCGAATTCTTCTTCTCCGCCTTGTTCTTCTCGCGCTCTAGCTGTTGTGCGCGCTTCTTGAAGATACCCGATAGCTTGGGCATGATCGGCGGAGCGTCCACACGCTCGCCAAAGCGCACGGGCGCTGCGTCCTCGAAGTAATCCTTCTTCGTGTTGCCAGTGCTTTGGTAGTCACGTTCGTAGCGCTCCTGATCTGTCATCTTCTTATCGCGCGCCTTCTCTTTCTTCTTTGCCAGGAAGGCTTTGCGCTTCTCACTGCTACGTCGACCCTGCTTGGCCGCATCGTAGATGACGCGCTTGACCTCCGTGCTGATGCGTTTGTTGAAGTCACGCATTGACTCTCCCTCCTTAATTGATCCGATCTGCAGTTTCTGCCTCTTGTTAGAATGGGCTGCAGCGCCGTCTCCGTCCACCTCAGAAGAGCGCATGACATACTGCTCCATGGCCTCGTCGCTCAGCATCTTGCGCCGGCGCTTCTTGGAGCGCTTGGACTCGGCTGGAGGTAGGTCGAATGACTTCTCCTTCTTGCCATTGTCGCGCTTACCTTTGAAGAACGGGTCGCACTGCTTGAGCTTCCTTTTGGCACTCACTCGACCCATAGTGCTAGAGTATCGACTTCAGAAGTGATCAATCGACTGGGCTGCGCCGCATCTCTCTTTATAAGAGCAAGCTGAGATGAATATTCCTGTAGTGGAACTAAGTGGTGTTAAATACGCTTAAAACAACTTCAAGGTAACGTTGTCCGGAACAGACTCCGTACCATTTTTGCAGGCAGAAGGATGCTGTACTCGCGCTCGACGTCCATGAACAACTCGCGCCGCAGGCGTGCGAGGCTGACTGCCTCACGTCTGCGGCGCTCCAAGCTGTTGACCGAGGTGGCTATGCGCAAAATGAATTTGGATCCAGCGAAAACCATGCAGATGGAACACATCTCGGAGCAGCTATCAGCGGAGGACATCAGCTTCTTCCGCCACATTTTTTGCCAGATTGACAGTGCGCCGTAGTGTTTAGTTTTCTTTAGTGAAGTTACCGGCTGACAATGTTGTTTTCTGTTGTGTCTTTGAATTGCGGGCTGCAGCCGACAACTCGGGCATCATGTTACGCTCGGAATTGCATGAGGTGAGGAGAAATTGCAGTTTACGTACTGGACATGAGCTAATCGTTAATAGGCCCTGACGCTACTCGGAATCTCTCCGAGCGACAAAGAGCTCGACGAGCATTTGCTCGTTGCAGATGCAGACGGTCAGTCTTTCAGTTAAAGCTCAGATAATTGATTCCAACCTCGTGCATCTCGAGCGCAGGTAGCAAGGCTATCGATCTTCAGGAATGGATTGTGCTCTGTGGGATGCTCGTCACTCCTCCGAACGATGAAGAAGACCTACTTGGCGCGTTTCAAGTACGTCGCAGCAGTGGATACCTTTATCCGATTGCTAGTTTATTTAACACGACAATTTTCAAGTGTCTATTTCCTAATGAAGAGGATATCCCCGTTGTCGTGTTCCGCACTAAGATACAGCGTCTACTCGAGAATGCATATGCGCACCTACCGGACAGCAACCCACACGAAGTAAGCTGCTACGTCGACGACATTCTCAGTGCCCTCGATCCCAACGACACTGAGTGCATCGACGTGCAGGAATGCATTCGAATTCTGACCACACCCTACCACGGCAAACCTTACCTCGCTCCCAGCCCCAAGGCACAAAAGAGGAGTGAGCAGCAGGAAGACGTGGAAGACAAGTGACTTAAAAAAAGCAGTTATCAGATTGGTGTGTAATCAAACCTCAATTTGAAACCATCATTACGTGACATTTACCTTCAAAACTGTAAGGTCAACTAAGAAAGAAAGAAGCTAGAAAATAAAGCAAGCCATTTTCGATTCCGCACTCGGGCCGCTGTTCTACGCGGCAGACATGCCTAACGGATTGGCGACAGGAACGCCGGTGGAGGTGGACGAGCACACTACCGACTTGTGGAGCGAGTTCGCAGACAGTGGTGTCGAGTGCGAGCTGTGCAACGAGCCATACGACGACGACGATAGCGACGAAGGCCACATTCCGCGCCTCTTGACCTGCGGCCACACCTACTGCCAGGTAGAGTGTGCTCTACCTTTCCTTCCCCTTCCCCTCGCTTTACAATTTAAAACTTCAACCTAACTATACTTGTTACCACAGAGCTGCTTGGACGGTTGGGCGACCCACACAGGCTCGCAGACGGGAGAATTGGAGTGCCCAACCTGTCGTAGAGTGACGCGGCTCGAAGGGTCTGCGGGTGCACGCGCCCTACCCAAGAACTACGAGCTCGTGCGTGCCCGTCAGGAGATGGAGGCGCAGACTCAGGTGCAGCTGCGCAAGCTCAAGGAGATGTGGACGACCCAAGTGAAGGAGAAGGAGCAGCTCGCGAGAGAAGCCGAAGAGCACGCACGCACAGCGCAGAGGGAGAGTGTCCAGGCCTCACAGAAGGCCATGTTCCTGGCCAAACAAGTGGAGATCAATGAGCAGGAGAAGAGACGCGCACAGGAACTGGCTGAGGAGGCCAGACACCGAGCGCTCGTGGCCTCTCAGCAGGCAGAAGTGCTCCAGGCAGAGACGGAGAATCTCAAGCGACAACTGCAGAATGACGCGGCGCAACTGGCGCGTGTTCAACTAGACGCGTCCAGTGCTGCAGCAGTGGCCAAGGAGCTTCACTCCAAGGCAGAGCAGCTACAGCAGCAGGTGGACTGTGTTCGTGCTCAGTTATCGCTGCATGCTGGACGGCACGATCCTAGTAAACTGGTAGTGCTGGTGTGCGAACCTACGACGGTAGGCTCGTGGCTGCTGCCCTACACGAGGTACGCCGTGATCAGCATCGCCAGCGACACGTCGAAAGGCGCACAGGCGATTGACCCGTACCAGGCAGCCAAGACGTGGACGCGCTTGCGTCAAGTGGAAGAACCTAGCTCCTCTGTGAAGGTTTACCGCCGCTACAGCGACTTTGTGTGGCTGCAGCGTGAACTGCAGCGTCAGTTCCCGTTCGAACTGGTGCCCTGTGTCCCTGGCAAGCAGCTCTTCTTTAACAAAGAGAAGGAGTTTGTGGGCGAACGGATGCGTCTGTTGCAAGCGTTCTTGCGTGGGGTTCTACGACAGCCGCTGCTAGCAGTGACGGAAGAAGTGCGCGCGTTCTTGCTGTCTACTACGGAGGAGCTTGAGAGTCTTCGACGCGCCACTTACAGCTACTACAGCGGCGTGGAGGACGATGATCTGCATTCAGTGGACGAAGATTCCCCTAACGATGAAGTGGACTCGCGTAGCTCGTCTCCTCCTGTTTCCACGTCAAAAGACTCGACAATGAGCAAACGTAGCAGCAGTTGGAGTGCGTGGGGCGCCGTCTCGGCCATTACATCGAGTGCTGCCAAGCTGGTCACCACAACCGGCACCGCTCTGACTGGGATTGGCTCGAAGACTGGCACTGCAGGCCTTCCGGAAGACCCGGAGGTGGAGCTGTCGAGAAGTTTCTTCGAATCCGAGGGACAGGATGCAGCGACGCGGGGGTGTATCGAGCGTCGACGCAGATACATCGACGTGGCGAGATCGTACCAGTCAACAGCACAGAAAGGAGGTCAGTTGTCTCGTGCTTCTCGTCTGCAGTCCCATCATCTCCATCGCATGTGTGAACTGCTTCACGATATGAACAAACTGGACCAAGACCACGCAAGGCGTCGGCGTCAGAGACTGGCGGCGTCCGAGGATATAAAATCACGACAGGATGACGAAGACGACGACATGGAGACGCGCGCCTTTGACGAACGGGCGTCTGATGTGTTTAGCGCTATCTCCCTCAACACGAAGAACGATGCAGACTGTATGGAGTACGCGCTACTGGAGGTCGTACGGATGCAGACGCTAGAGTTGGGCGGCATCGAGGATGCGTTTGCGCGCGTGCGTCGTCGCGAGGAGGCGCTTCAAGCGCAGCAGGAATTAAACGCATCTTCCAGCACTTCACTGACCGACGGGGCTTCACTATCTGCGTTGTCTCTCAAGCGCGAAGAGCTGGTTGCGCACAGACGCGAATTGAACGATAAAGTGGCGGCGCTGGACCCAGGTCGCTCGCGGTTTGTACTGCAAGTTCTTTGCAAGAACACGAGCGAGATGCACAAGCTGGCGAAGTCCAAACGGAAACTCTTCCAGGCCTCGCAGCAGCAACTTGTCGGCGTGCAGCGCTAGATGGAGCGTTCGGAAAAAGGAGACAAACAAGGGTAAGGGTGTATAAAATATATAAGAGGGTGTGTTGTCAAGGACGGAGCTTGTCTGTCTTCGTCTTGTTGCCAGCCTTGGGGAGATACGAGGAATACGGCGGAGCGACGTGTCTGCAGTAGGTCTGCATGGACGGCAAGTCAACGTCCACGGGGCGATTCCGGTACGTCACCGGTTTCTCTCGAGCATCTTCCTCACTTTCCGCTCCCTTGCCGTCTTGTTCGTCTTCGTCTTCGTCGATTCGGTCTTCGAGCTGTGGATAGTTCCCGTTCGCTACACTCCCGACGAGGCTCTGAAACGTAGCCATCTCGGACTCTACCCTCTTGACTAGCGCCTGGTACTCGGACAGCGGTGCAGTCGCTGTACCTGCCGCCAAGTCGAAGGCACGCGAAAGACTAGCTGTCAATCCCTCGCCGAGCTGTACCATCTGCAGGGCGGCGGCGCGGGTCGCCGTTGTGCGAGACTCGCCGAAGCATCGCATCCAGGCCAACTTGGTTTGTACCAGCAGGTGACGAAGCTGGAGTTGCAGCGTAGTGAGGCGCGTCTTGAGCTCCAGTCGCGTGAAATACTGAGACGCATCGGCGTTAGCGCCTGCCTGCTGGCGTGTGGACGAGCCGCGTGCGAGCGCCGCCGTGATTGGGCCGCTAGGTTGACGTCGGAGCTGCGTCGCCGGGTCCATGGTGTGTGGTCGCGTGCAAAGTGGCACCGCACGATGACTGCAGTGGCTCCGACAGGAACTTGTTGAAGTTCTTACGCGATGGATTGGTTCACAACAGCCTGAAGATATTCGAAGCAAGTCGAGCAGCTTCGACCTAAACATAGCGAGCGATGCGACGGCGTCTGCGATCTTCCATCGGCCAGCGAGCGTGAAGAACAAGTCGAGTAGAGGCTGCCGTACCAGCAAGTTTCTGTCCACTGGGCGGTGGTGTCGCTTTGACGAGGGCACGACGCTACATGTAACAGATTGCTTATCTAGCAACCTCCATGTCTCTCCGATGGAACGGGGACTGCAAGCAGGTCAGCCGGCGCCGTCGCGGACGCAAGGAAAGCTCTTTCTTCCCAGAGCTGGACGCGGCCCGACGACATCAGAGACACCAGCGCAGCGACCACGCGCCACTAATTTTTGCCGGCGGGTTCAAAGTGAGCGGGACCCCATCGAAAGGCACTGCGCGTGTTCCGCGAACGCCGCAGTGAGGACACCGCCGTCTTGAGCCTTGAGTCAAGGCTTGACCGCTGCGCCAGCCATTGTCGGATCGCACGGCACTCAAGTCCGGGATCTGCTCTCCCCCTGATCTGGCTGGCAGAAGGTCCACCCTCGAGGATGTCCCTGTTGTGCAGTGCACAAGACAAGCGATGCTCGAGCGTGGACTCATAGCGGGCGGAACACCAGGACATCTTTGAAGCTTTGGGGATGTCCGAGGCGACTTTGGGCGTCGTATTGTGTCGTTAGAGCAACATGAGATCCGCTGTAACGGTGACTCTTACGCCCGACGCTCGCCATGTGTGACTTTAAATCACTCGTCTGCATTTTCGCTACGGGGGTTTGAAGCGACACTTTCCGATCATTGGATGAATATAGGCTGAAGAAGGAGTAGGCATTGGTTGATATTTCTGTTGCCGCATCGTGACGCTTTTTTGGCCCATCGCTGGCCGCCTTGGAGAAGAGAGCAGGAATTGCCAGAGAAGAGGCGACTCCCGCTTTCTCCAGCGACCCCAGCGAGGAACAAGTCAAAGAGCCGAGGAGGCCACACTCTTGATGGCGACCCAGTGGATGCAGGACCCGGCGTACAGCGCCTACCAGGTGGACAACACAAGCTCCGAGAGCATGTCGGAAGAGGCCTCTGAATCCTGCAGGTTTATCCATAACCAATGCGACAAGGAGCTCTTCACGGGCGAGTATTTAAGGTACCCTAAAACAGCTATCTAAAAATAACGCATCCAAACTCCAAACGTGCGCTAACCGTAACGCTATCTTCCTTGACGCGAGCAGAAGCAACAAAGCCAGTGGTCACAAGAACCTCCGCTGCTTCCCTCACTGCTGCGGGGGCCACAACCCAAAGAGTTTCTGCGGCTCTGGCCTCGTAGTCGAGTGCTTTTTGCCCAATTGCCAATTGGTATTGGGCAGATTCGAGGAAGTGGCCAAGCAGCAACCAGCCAATGGCAAGACGCTACCGTCCCCCACCACAGTGGACACGAGTCTGGGACGCAGCAGCCTCGTGGTGGGGCGGGAATATCCACGTCAAGAGCTTTTCGACGATGTCAAGATGCCCGACCAGCCTTTTGGTCGCTGGTTCCGGGGCTCAGCTGTGCCCAATGGCTCAGGATCGGGCACATGTTTCCTACTCAATGGCAACCGCCAGTCGTGGCACTACGGATGGCAATCCTCTCGTCTCAACTGCAAGAACCTGCACGTGTTTAAAGTCTACGTCTTCGATGCCAGCTCCAGCGGGAATGCCAATACTCTAACGTGTGTGGCAGCACTGGCGTCGCCTGCCTTCCGGATTTCATCCAGTCGCAAGGCCAGAAAGACGTTCCGCTCGCCCATGAACCAGGTGAACGGCACGACGCCCAACTCTACTCCAATGGGGTTCCAGAATGTGCTTCCTAGAGCCCCATCCCCGTCGGGATCGACCCAGAGCGCCAGGAGTATCGACGAACTGCTGGGTACTGGAACGGGGAACAACTCGGCGGTGGCTAACGCTGCAGCAATGTACGCGGCAGCTCAACAGCGCCCACCCACGGGCTTCATATCGGGGCAGAGAGACCCCGCTCGACGTGAGCGAAAGCGCTTGACGCGCTCCGCGTCACTTAAAACGGACTATTTCTCAACCATCTCGTTCCCGACGCTCCAGCAACAGCAACAACTGCAGCAACAGCAATTCCAGCAGTCTCAAAGAATGTCGCTGTCAGCTACACACCCGCCGCATTTCGAGGGACTCCAGGCGAGCCGCGCGTCGATGCCGTCACTGCCAGGCGTGGGCTCTTTTCTGAACAACTCGACGGCGCCGAGACCCACCGGGACCAACCGAGCGTTCCACAGTCGACGCTCGTCTCTGGCCGCTCTTCCCATGCCGGTCTCCAACCCGTTAGCCATGTCGCGTCCACAGCAACGACCCGTTCCGGTGCTGACTCCCATCACCGGAATGATGCAGCTCCGACTGGAAAACCACTCGCCTTACGCCAGCACGCCTATCGCCAGCTCGACGCCGTCATCGTCCAGCTCTGCGACTCCAACTACCAACACGACGCGACTCACAGCTGCGGCTCTACACCAGCACGCGTACGCTTCTGCCCGGCCATATCCATACGCTCGACGTGACACTTGGTCGAGTAGTTTGCACGCCATGATCCCGGAAGGCGGCGGCGGTATCCCCATGATGATGATGTCGCCTGGGTCGTCACCCGACAGTTATCTCAACCGTAAACGCAACCGCTCGACGGACTCGGACAAGGCGATCACGGCTGCTATTGAGGCCTCCGAGAAGATCCACCCCACGCTCTCCCCGATCTCGTCTCCGCCGCTGGTGGCTCCAGTCCCCACAGACAGCGAACTGTACCGCCGTGCACGCATCCTGCAGCTGGCGTTCACAATTGTCAAACGTATCCATCGCTTCGAAGAGGTCGCAGCCAAGCAGAAGGAGACGCCCAAAGTGTATCGCCACTCGTTCGAGATGATCACTCCCCCCATGCCGACCACAAGTGCAACGCAGACGCCACGCAAGAAATACTCTTTGGTTCAGATTCCTCTGAGCAACCCCAAGCTGCTGTATCTGTGCTCGAACCTCGTGACCGTTTGCACGTCTTTGGTAAGCTCTGGACTGCTGGAGGACATGCGGCAAAAGATGCGCGACTGCGCTCAAGCTGGACGCGGCGTCCTGGCAGCGTATCAACAACTTGTGGACTTATTGAACGACTCGGTGGAAGCTCAAGTGTCACGTCTGCGACGCCGTATGCACAAGTCGTGGGGCGATGCGGAATCTGCTGATGAAGGCGAGTGGGATCTGTACGAGATGCTCAAGAGCTGCGAGCCGTGGCTCATGCAGGAAGCCTGGTGGGTTGTGCTGGACGACGACGACCAGCAACAAGCAGGAGATAAGGAAGAAGGCGCGTTGCGTCCACTCCCGTACATGCACCTGTTCGCAGACTATTACCGGACGATTCAGGATGCCGTCCCGTCGCCTCAAGGCTTGGAAGTGGCCGTCTCACTGCGTGAAGCAGCGCTCACGGGCGCCACGGGCTTGACGGGAGAATGGAATCGCCAGGGCGAGCCTGATGAACACCATCTACAACAACCGCAACGGGTGGCTTCGGTTCGATCGGCCATGGCGGCGTCGTCGCTGTCCTGGTTGGCCCGCTGCATCCACGCGCACACGACGAAGACGTTCCACATCACAGAGACGAACACGACGATGACGCTGTCGCTGCCGAACAGCTTGGTATCTGCTGACGCCGTGTTCCTATTGCAACTGAATCAACAGGAGCCGACGGTGGTGCTGCCGCAGGATTATTTCCCGTTCGGCTGGTCGCGTAAGCGCTCGTTGATGGCGTACCGAGCGTGGCGTGTGCGCGGCATTGGCGACTCGAACGGCAGTGCGGTGGCAGTTCAGTTCATGCGCTGGCCGGATGATAACGAGCTTGAAGCCGTTGAGAACGACGAGGAAGACGAAGATCTGGACGAAGACGAAGCTGAAGACTCCCCCGAAGAACCCGAAGAAGAGCCGCTGGGTCGTCGCGGCCGCCAGCTCAAGCGGCTGCGTACACGGATCACCATTTACTTCTCCGTGTTCTCGTCCACCACGTTGCAGCTACGAACTATCGTCGAAGCGAGTCTGGCTCCGGCCGCGGCGCTCCCGGCTTCGGTCAGTACGCAACCCACAGATGCAGACATGTTGAAATACTTCAAGTCGCCGTCGTCCTGGGAAATGTGCTCGCAGATTTCGCAAAAGTACACGAAAAACCTGTAAATACCCGTCGAGCGCAGCGCCAGCCTCTCCACTCCTATCCCAGCCACCCAACTGTAGCCACTTTTCTCCCTCTTCGGCTTTCACTTTGTGTGCAATGCGTACGTCGGTGTGTTTTTTTTTTCTTTTCTTCTTGAGAGGCGGAACCGAGGGAGTACGACGGGTTTCGCCGACATCCTGGTCATAGATAGGTCCAAAGGTATAAGCAGGAAGGTCAGCAACTAATTGCAAAAACATGAACAAAACTCAAGATACATCGGTCCAAAATGGTTCTCATCGTCTGTTGATCTCATTTTGAGGCTGGTGTTGTTGCACTACACGACGTTGCTGCTATCACTGCCGGTTTTGCTGCTGCGGTAGTGGGTGTTACCCTTGTGATTGTAGATACCGGCGACACGCTAGCAACCGGACCAGGTCGTGTTAGAGGCGACGCAACCGCCGGCTTGATCCCGATGCTCGTGTGTGTGGCACTCTTGCCTGCGATTGCCGCCTTAGCAGCATTTGCAGCTATGACTTTCTGTAGCGCCTGCTGCTGGACGTGTTTCTTGCGTTCCATCTTCGTCCTCGCCGCTGCGTCTTGACTCGCCTTGACCTTCTCGTTGTATCCGGACAGCACTCGAGCGTACGAGGTGAATCCCAGATTCTCCATACTCTCGACGACATTTGAGCCAGAGATCGACAGACCCACACCTTTTTTCGTTCTCCGGTTCTGCATGATGGACAGATCGCGGGATTCGCTCGTGAAGTAGAGCAGAAACTCGGTGACGCATTCTTGCATGAACGTCACAGCGTCGTCGCTGATACTGATCGAGTCTCGACAAGAGTCGACGTCCTGGACGCTGTGGGCAGGAGACACGGCTGGGGACGGCGTTCTACCCTTTACAGGCTCTGCACCAACCGCCTCCTCTTCATGGTCGCCTGGCAGCGCTCTGTACATGATTTTGGATATGGTTTTTGGAGGGAGATACATCTTGTCTTCCGTCTCGGAGCTTGCACGGGTCGCCAAGTCGAGATCATAAAACTGCTGAGCAACACGGGGGGATATCGGCGGCACGGTAGTGGTCGACGGGCGATAACCGGTAGAAATCGAAGGCGATGGCGTACCGAACACGTCGGTCCGCGGTTTCTTGACCGATCCAGGAATTTCCACCTGCAACGGACGTTTGTAGGACGCCGCTGCCAACATCGCAGCAGTTGTGGCGCTGTTACTGACTTTGGCAGCCTCCAGTTTGGCCGCGTCACGTTTCGCCTTGGCCTTCTGGTTGGTCTCAATCTGTTTAGCCTGCAGCTGAGTCTTGATTTCTGCGTACTCCCGCTCGACCGCTGTCATGTCGCGCTTGACAGAAACTCGGACGGCAGGTGGCAGTACTGCAGACTGAGATGCTGTAGCTCCTGTGAGTGTTGTAGACGTCGTAGCTGCTGCCAAAGCGGGGGTAGAAGCAGCGGTGACAGCGCTTCCAACAGAGACGGCAGTACCGTTAGTAGGGGCTGTCGAAGTGCCACTCGAAGTAGCAGAAGCGGGAGCTATGGGAGTAGTACTAGGAGTGGCGGCGCCAACCGACGCAGTAGCAGCCGCGGCAGTAGCAACAGCAGAGCTGACGGCAGCTGCAGCCTTTGCCGCCGCTTCCTGCTGAGCTACTTTATTCTTCTCTCGAAGTACAAAAGCCCCCAACATCTGCACGATCTTCTGTGTGATGAACTCCGACTTAACCTGGAGATCCAGCGACCAGCGGTCCTGTTGAATCAGCATCGGGCGGCGATGTGCCAACGAGTCGCGATACTCCCGTTGTGCGATCTGTAGCAGCATCAACTCCGTGCAGCGATTCAACCACGACGTCATCTTGTCTAGCGCCTGCCGCATCTCGCAGTCAGTTCGTGAGTTGGCGACCCGTATACAGACCTTGGCCAGCGCCTCCAGATCCGTATCAAACGTCGTCTTACTCTTCTTCTTCAGGGAATAATACGTTGGTGCGGCTGTAACGTAAGGCTTCGCTGTCGCCGTGGTCACGGCCTGTGTCGTCGAATTGGCTGAGCTCTTCTCTCCGTTCTGGAGCTGCATCTGGAGCTGTCTCTTCGCCAGTTGCTGTTTCTGTTGCTTCAGCATCATATCTCGGAGCAACTGCTGCTGTCTCATCACCTGTTGCTGTTGCGCCAACAAACCGTCGGCGATGGACGTGGCCGTGGCCGCTGTCACCGTGTTCCCCTTCGTCTGCTTAAGTTGCTGCTCATGTAGCCTTAGCAATCTCAAGTGTTCCTGCTCTAGCAGCAGCTTACTACGCAGCCACTCCTCGTTGTTTCTCTTCTGCACTGCCTGTGCAGCCATGGCCGCTTGACGCTGCACGTTCTGCTGCAGTCTGGCCAGCTGCTCCTGTCGGAGCTTCTGCAGGTCCTCTGACGTCTTGGCCAGGCCTGTCATACTAGTGGTCATAGTGCCAGTACTACTGCTAATCGTACTGGACGGCGTCATGGGGATGCCTGACTGAGCCTCGAGCTGTTTGGTCATCGCCTGGTACTGTTCCACCTGCTGCTGCGCCAGCGCGAACTGCAGTCTACGCGCCTCTTCTTGCGTCCGAAGAGCGCGATCCATCGCAGACGCATCTGCGCTTGAGTTTACAGCGGGTTCTGTACGCTGAACACTCGCCTTGGCCCCAACAGAGGCTGTCGTCGTTGCGGTGCTGGCAGGAGAAGACTGAGCCACAGTCGCGGCGACATTTTTCGACTTCTGCTGGGAGCTGGAAGATGCCGTCAGGACAGGAACGTGAGTCTTCGAATTGGCTTCGGTTGTAGCATCACTGGGGGGCGTGGAGATCGCTGGTTGAGCTGGTGGCGCCGCGGACGCAGACGTCATCCCTGTCGCCGCCGGTTGGGCCATCAGCTGTTAAGAATTTGAGGGTTGGGTTATGCTGTCAAAAAGGCCGCTAGAGAGCATAGTAAAGGCAAGTGAAGAAGCTTCTATGATGTACCCCCTGTCCAATTTGACAATTCCCGTGTAACCGTAAACATGGCCGGCGTGGTGTTGGCGACGGCGGGCTATGACCACACGATCCGCTTCTGGGAGGCCGCGTCCGGCACCTGCAACCGCACAGTCAAGTACCCAGACTCGGTAGGGCACTCCACGTACCGCTCTGTGTCTTCGACGCCTCGGAACCACTTCACCCTAACGTAGAAACTGTAGCAAGTGAATTGTCTACAGATCACGCCGGACAAGAAATACATCGCGGCGGCGGGTAACCCACACATTCGCCTCTTCGAGATCAATAGCAATAACCCCAATCATGTAACCAGCTACGACGGCCACTCCAGCAACGTCACGTCGCTTGGTTTCCAGCGCCATGGCAAGTGGATGTACTCGTGCTCGGACGACGGTAGTGTAAAGATCTGGGACCTACGCGCCCCCGGTTGTCAACGCAGTTATGCTGCTGGCGTACCCCTCAACTCGGTGGTACTACATCCGAACCAGGCAGAACTGCTCGTGGGCGACCAGAACGGAGCCGTCCGGGTGTACGACCTCACTGCCAATGCCATGGCTACAAAACTGGAGCCGCCGACGGGCGAGACAGGAGAGAGCAGTATCCGTTCTGTGGATATTGTGCGAGATGGCAGTGCACTGGTAGCAGCTAATAACCACGGCAAGTGCTTCTTCTACCGTCCGAAACCAGAGGGTTACTACGAGTTGCATGGCTCGATCCAGGCACATAATGGCTACATCCTTAAGACACGGATCAGCGCCAATGGCAAGTTCCTGGCGACGTGCTCGTCGGATAAAACCGCCAAAGTGTGGAGCCTCCCGACTGCGATGGCCGCATCGGCGAGCGGAGAAGCGGCCGAACCGGAGATGCACGGCAACGGATCTATCAGCTCGCAGCGACAGATGAGCTCGTCCAGTATGAGCTCCACCCTGGGGCCGACGACGCCGCCTGTTCCGAGCAGTACGGGTCTCATCCACACGCTCCAGGGCCATCAGCGATGGGTCTGGGACTGCGCGTTCTCGGCCGTGTCGTCGTATTTGGTGACGTGTTCGTCGGACCAGAGCGCCCGCCTCTGGGACTTGAGTCAGGGGGAAGCCATCCGCCAGTACAGCGGCCACCACAAGGCCGTCATCTGCGTAGCTCTAAATGACGCTGTCGCGGACTAAAATACCAGAAGACGAAGCAAACGAGAGAAAGAGAATAGTGTATAAAGAGGTTCTACGCTTAAGTCTGCGGTGTGGTCTACGTGAAGGTCTTCTTGGTCATGATGGCGTAGAACTCCTCGGCGTTGATCTCTCCGTCCTGGTCCGTGTCTGCACGCTCGATCATCTCGAGCAGCTCGGCGTCCGTCATGGTCTCGCCCAGTTCCTTGGCTACGCGCTTGAGGTTACGCAGTGAGATTTTACCCGTCTGATCGTCGTCAAAGAGGTTGAAGACCTTCTGGATATCTTCTCTCGAGTCTTTGTCGCTCTGGGGCAACACACACGCAACAGTCAGTTCAATCCTTTCGCAATCTCCAAGTAACTCTCGAGAGTTTAAAACCGACCATTTTCGCTGTCATCATGTCCAGAAACTCCTCGAAATCAATGGATCCGCTGCCGTCCTTGTCGATGTCGCCGATCATCTGGTAGATGGTCTGATTCTTGGCCTCGAAGCCCAGCGACTGCATTGCTGCTTTGAGCTCCTTGGGGTCGATCGTACCGCTCCCGTCTGTGTCAAACAGGTTAAAGGCCTCACGAATCTCTTCAATCTCCTCTTCGCTCAGCCCTGGACGCTCATACGTCTTGGCGTTGCGCTTCTGCGAGATGCGGCGAGCCATTCGTCGGCTACTTTAAAAGTGTCGCTTGACGCCCGCGCAAAAAAGGATCGTAACCGTCCCTCAATGCTCTTTTTCATTGGCGAAAATAGTCCAATTCAAATGTTATTGGATGAAAGTCACTGTCTGTGACACGATGTTATTGGTGTAAACAGCGTCCCGTTATCAGCCAATCAGTACGACGTTTAAAAAGCTAAAGCCGCACTTTCCGTCTGTGTTTCTTCTCCGCACTTAGGCCGCATGGAAGCTCCGACGACGACGCGGCGCGTGGCGGCGGCTGCCTCAGCCCGTGCGATCTCCTTCCCGAGCGCTCGGATGCTGGAGGCGCAGCGCAACTTCCAGAGCGTGGTGAAGCAGGAGCTTCAGACACTGCTTGAGGGCGGCACTAAGCGCGAAGAGGCAGTGAAGCTGCTGCTGCGACGCATCGTGGCCAGCACAGAACCTCCCGAGGCTACAGCCGTACGTGGCGTTATGCGTCAGTTCCAGATGAACTACGACGACGCAGTGCGCGCCCTAATTGTCAAGCAGGAGCTCGGGAGGCTCAAGCGACAGGGACTCGACTCATTCGCGGCTATTGAGGAACTAACCCGGAAAATGAGTAGTCGGGACGAAGTAGAGCAGGAGGAAGAGCAGGAGGAAGAACAGGAAGTAGAACACAAGGATAGTTCAGTTGAAGAGAAGAACGAGCAGGTTTCTGCTCGAGAACAGGAGAAAGAGGCCCTCCCTGCGGCTGAGATGGCGTCTCCGGAAAAAGACGGAAACGAGACGTCTTTGTCCCTTATTCAACGTATTGGTCAAGTGTCCATCTCCTCTGGCAACACAACCGAGAGGGAGAGCGAAGAACGTGAAGATGAGAAGGAAACAAATGAAGATACAGACGGAGAGAATGAGTCTGTGGGGGAGCGCAACAAGACGCTATTCAAGTCTCCGGTGCGAGTGCGAAGCCCCAACAGCAACACCCTGGCAGACCTCACACCGCAGTCACGCAAACGACGTGCTGCCTTTGGCGTCCAGTACGATCCCACCAGCAACAGCAGTAGCAGACGTAGTGTGAAGCCATTGTTCCCGAGTATAAAAAAGCAGAAACTGTGCGCTGAAGTGGGCGACGGGTTCCTTCAAGTCGTCACGCGCAAGTCTAAGCAAACGTCGCCTAATGTATCAAAAACTACAGCAACAGGATCGTCCGGGTCGTCGCCTAACAGTGGAAAAGGTGGAGGAGGAGGATCTAAGAATTTACACAAGCGGCAACGAGCGAGCCCCTCAGGGATGCAGGACGAGGACGAGTCTCCCATCGCAGAAGAACTTCGTGTTTCCCACGTGCATCACCGACATCACAGCCACCATAGCAAGCGCCAGAAGAACGGCAGCCATTGACGAGGACCGAGCGGATATGAGTCTAATTATTTCAACCTCTGTAAGACCGTTTTGAACATGTAGAAAAGCTAGGAACATCCGAGTGAAGAAGAAGAAAAAAAGGAAGAAAAATGGAGATACTGAGCGAATAAATCAAGATTACTCAAAAGATTCTGAAATTTCACCTGTAAATTACAGACTTACTCTAAAAAAAAGTATCAATGCTCTAATTCTGAAAGTGGCGTGTGGTGCTTGGACGCAAGTCGATTCCACGCTCCTGAAGCTCTTGCAGCAACTTAATGAACTCGGTTACCGACACCTTTACTGCTCGATTGGATGTGAGACCGCTCGCTTCCAACGCCGCCTCGACACGCTCCGTGACGACCTGATGCTTGTCTTCTCCTTCTGTTTCGGTATCCTCCTTCAATTCGTATTGCGATCTCGCCGTCTTGGCGAGTAACAACGCTCTCAGCGTCTTGTTCTTGCGCTCGAAACACAGTCTCAGAAGTGCGTCAAACTTTTGGAAAAATTGCTCATCATGCGATGGCAATGCAGCAGCACGAGGCACGAGTTTAATCACTCTCGAATCCACCTTCGGAGGGGGCAGGAAGTGCTCTCTCGGTACCTTGGCAACCGACGTAACATTAGCCACAAGCGCCGTATTGGCACTCAATCGACTGTAACTCTTGTTACCGGGCTCAGCCAACAGTCTCGATGCAAACTCCTCTTGCACCAGCAACACCGCACACTTGAAGGTCTTCGGGAAGCGGTGCATGTAGTTTGAGAGCCTGGACACCACAATCGACGACAATTGGTACGGAATGTTCGCTACACAGGCGTTAAAGATCTTCTCCTGGTTCGTCTCCTGCTTCTGGTCTGGTACAAAGCGGAAGTCCTCGAAGTCGGAATGTTCCAAAACGAGGCTGCCACTCTCGATCTCGGTCGGAAACCGGAGCTTCAGTTGCTCTACCATGCGGGGATCGAACTCCACAGCATGGACCTGCATCTTGGGACTCACTTGCAGCAGTGTCGACGTTAAATTGCCCGTTCCGGGGCCGATCTCCAGCACTCGCACTGTGTCCGAACAAATGTCCGAAAGCTCCGACGCAGCCACGATTTGGTCCAAAATGCCATCGGACACCAAAAGATGCTGGCCTAATTTGCGTTTGAGGTGTGGAGTGCCTTTTAGTCGAGAAACATTGGAGGTCGACGCCCAGCGAGGGCGCAGAGAGCCCCGAGAACACACGCTATACACAAGGCGCCGTGTTAACGCCATACGTCTCTTTTTGTGGTCGCGAGAAGCTGAACTTACGTTGCGCGTTCTTTGAAATTATGTTGCTAGTAGCGCAAGTTGCTGTAACAGTCAATTGAGTGGAACCTGTCCATGTTTTCGGTGTCACTAACACGCCAAGTACGAGCACCGCGTGTCCTCTTCCTTCCTCGCAATGCATTCGGAAAGATCTAAGTTAAGATGGCTCTCAGAGTGGAGCCACTGGGGTCTGCGCCAGCAATCTGAGCTGCTGGAATCGATCCAATACTGGATTGGTCATGGACGTCTTGGTTGCTTACGTGTGTTCCCGGCAGTACAATAAAGCTTTACAGGTCTGGCTTGTTTTGCGAAACACATTTTGTATTCGATACTAATGGCTACAGCCTCAGGCGGCATGAGGAACAAACTCCGATCTAAACTACCGTCTGCCCGTTCACTGCGTTCAACTCGCAGTCAGCAGCTGGCAACACGTCGACCGGCAACTTAATTGTTCTTGGCAAAGTCCACACCCTTCTTGATCTGAGCCTCGAGGGCCACGATCATCTCGTCGAAGTTGGCCTGCTCCACAGCAGAGAGCTCACCGAAGTGGTGCACCTTCTCGACACCGTTGGGGCCGAGGGTCACGGGCGTGGAGAAGAAGGGCAGCTTAGTCACGTCGTTCTGCGTGTACGAGCACTCGATCACGTCCTTCTCGCCGTTCATGGCGTCCAGGAGACGCGAGGTGAAGCGAGCGCCAGCGTAGGCCATGGAGAGCGTGGCCGATCCCGTGCCGTTCTTGGCCTGCACGACCTCGTCACCGCCGAACTGGATGCGGTGAGTGAGCTTGGCAATGTCCTCGTCCGAGAACTTGCCGCCCTGTAGCTGCGACAGCAGAGGCAGGATGGTGGTGCCGGCGTGGCCGCCAATGACCTTGACGTTGGTGTCGCGCGGGTTCCACTTCTGGTTGTCGGCCACGAACGTAGCGGCACGGACGACGTCGAGCGTCGTGACACCAAAGAGGCGCTTGGGGTCGTACACACCGGCCTTCTTGAAGGTCTCGGCCACGATGGGCACCGTCGAGTTGACAGGGTTGGCGATGATGAGCATCATGGCCTCGGGGCAGTGCTTAGCGGCGGCGGCGGCCAGGGACTGCACAATGCCGGCGTTCGTGTTGAACAGGTCGTCACGGGTCATGCCGGGCTTGCGCGGGACACCGGCCGGGATGACAACAACATCGGCACCTTCAAGGGCTTCGCCAGCCTGCTCCATGCCCACGTGGCCCGTCACCTTAGCGTGCGTGTTGATGTGGCCAATGTCGGCGGCCACACCGGGCGTGTTGACGACGTCGAAGAGGCTCAGGTGATTAATGTGGTCGCAGTCCTTGAGCAGAAGCGACATGGGCTGGCCGATACCGCCGGCCGCACCGAGGACGGCCACCTTCTGCTGGCCAGGGGCCGACGAGTAGGCGCGACGCAGTGTAGCGACGGTGACTGACGTGGCACGGGTGAACATCTTCTTGGTCTTTGGCGGAAGCCGGCGAATTGGAGAATGAGACCGTCGGCAACGTACGTGTGGCGCTCCTGGCACGTGTACAGATCGGTCTATTAGATGTGAGGATCGGGAAGCTGAAGGCACAAGTTGAAGCTGGTCGGTGGCGTGATGTTGCCGAATGAATCATAAAACGGGGTGTGTACTGAATTTAACGATGGACGCCGCGGTTATGGAAGATCGCTCCTTGCAGTTGACGACGCTTGAGGCGACACGTACGCGTGGACGGAGGCGATGTAGAGCTTCCTGCGAGGCTCAAGCGCTTAAAAACATGTATGCAATTTTGTACATGTACCTGGAAAAAGATGTGAAGTCGGAGCTGTCGCGATCGTCCACTCTCGACGACTCGGCACAACCCGGCCAGAGACGAGGCTGTTGGCAACTTAACCGTGCGCCTCGGACTGATGCTCGCATCGATAATGGATGAATGCTCACAGAAGACCGACCCTTTCAGACGTGGTAAACAGGACACTGGGCTCAAAGCAATGCTCTGTGCGACGTTCCGCCGGGCTGGTGTTCAAAACGCCGGAAGATTCGGGTGCTGGGTCAACGCGGCGAAAAGAAGTGCTGCGCCGGGCGCTGGTCGTTTTGATGGACGTCGGAAGTAGGTAATGAAAAGTTCAGCTTTGCCGTTCGTTCAGTTTCGACACGATTTCTGAAGTACTTACACGGACACGTGTACACGTACATGTATGTACCGGTATTGAGATGCACGGCATCGTCCAAGCGAGTCTTTACTGGTAAAAGGCTGTACGACTGCGAAGTGCAGCTGTTACATCGGCTTTAGACCCACAACCATGTAGCTCGAAGCACTAAATTGTATTGGAGAAGGATATGATTGGATGAGAACACTTCAACTTACACGACGTCAAGGCATTCATTCGACAACTTTTCATTCACGCTTACCGTGTGTGTCAGTTATTTTCACTGCTCATGTCGTTTACGCAGCCGACGCAAGTGTCTGGTAATTGGTTCTTCGAGCGACACTATGCGTAATGCCCAGCCGAGCGGCAAAGCGATGGCCCCCATGCCGATATAAGCTCCCCACTGAGCTGCACTCAACGGAGCACAGTGGAAGAGCTCTCCACCAAGTTGCACGATGGCCACTTGCAGGCCGCACTGGACACACAACGCGGCCATGCTCAGTTTGTTCTTGCGCAGCTCCTTAAGTCAAAGCGAAGGCGTGTCGGAGACGCTCTGTCGACAGTTGAGCTGGTTGAAGAGCTGCAGCCACACAAACGTGTTGAAGACAATGGTCAAGTGCTGAGTGGACTCCGAGTCGTCGTCGACGATACGCTGAACCACTTGTCGCCTAGGAACGTTAGCAAGAGCAGCAGAGTGAGCTGGATAAGTGTCTGACCAGCGATGTGCTTGGCCATGCGTGGCGTTATAAGCGGTTTACTGCGTGGAATTGGCTGGCGTGCCAGTATCTCGGAGGCGCTGGGGTGAGCACTTGCGACGCGAACACGTCCATGGAGAGATTAACCCATAGAATCTGCACCGCAGCGATAGGAGACTGACGGAGGGTCACAGCTCCGACACAAGCCACACTGAGCGCCACAGCGATGACTGTGATCTGGAACCAGGCAAGAGAAAAAATCAATTTGCATCGATTTTTTCGATAATCCTCCATTGCTGTACTGTATGCATTGCAGTTGGCTCTTCAGGTGCAGTTTGGTATTGCAATTTTGGGGAGGCATGCAATCAGGTATTTTAATTGCAATATTCAAATGGCAATAATCTAGCGTTAAGTACGAAGTATCTTGAAGTCTACCTTGATGTTAGATCTTCCTTTGAGGTCTTGTTTGTCCAAATTTTATAGTTTAAGGTATAGCGTTTGCGGAAGAGATTACTAGTCTACCTGCGGAATAGGTTATTTCTTAAAAGTGCACCAAAAGTTTCATTCCTGAATCCTCTCAGTCGCAGAAGCACAAACACTCCCTGTGTGTACCTCACCAATCTCTACAATGGCCCTCTCAAAAAATAAAGCCAGACGTGACGGAATGCCTGCGTCGATCAAGTATTACTTCGACACTACGTGTCGGCCTCCAAGACAAGAATGTCACCGTGGCTTCTGCTCGCGGGACTTTCGACGCTATTCTGGAGGACTATCCGGAGATGAGCCATCACCTTGCACAAGACGCCTCCATTGTGCACGATCCTGTCTTCGAAGCAGCAATAACGAAGGTCCTTAACGACACCACAGGAGATTTGTCAACCAGAGAGAAAGCAGTTTGAAGTTGAAACAGCCCCCCCCCCGTCTAGACGCATTGTACACGGCGAAATGGTCGACTACTACCACCAGATACAAGAACGCAAGCGCCTGAAAATGACTAAGACAACGGCATATGAGAACCTCAGCTTCATGAAAGGAACATCCGTAGCAGTTGAGAGGCTGTTTAGTGCAGCTAAATACGTGATGACGGACCGCCGATCCCGCCTGACTCCTGGCATTTTCGAAGCCATTATGTTTCTCAAGGTAAACTAGAAATTCTGAAACTCACGTCTTGTTGCCAAAGCGATAAGGAAGTCACACGATGGTGAGCAAGTGTTAATCGCGATTACTTAGTGCAGATGAGTATTGCAGTTTTTCTTTGCAGTTTATATTGCAATCTCATCGGTACTCGCAATATAGCATTTTGATTGCAATTTTTTTCCGGCGGATAAACCACTTTATTTTTTTCCTTCTCTGTCTGAAACTGCAAAACCTGCGAGATGCCGTCGAGCACGCCGCGTCCGGAGACGACGGCGCTCACTACGCCTGTCAGATCGTCGTCCATCAACGCGATATCCGCTGCTTCCTTGGCCACAGACCTGCCGCTCTTGCCCATGGCAAACCCTACATGGGCAGCTCGAAGTATCGGTGCATCGTTCGTGCCGTCTCCCGTCTTCCGTCACAGCTACCAGCTGCTGCAGCATCAGCTTTGAAGCTCGTAGTCCAGTCACAAGCGTGCGCTTGTCCTGTGGCCAACTACGCGCCAGAACGCGTAGAGAAGGCCACACCTGCTTGAAGATCTCCTGTCGTAGTTGTCCATGCGCATTTAGCACAAGCGCTCGAAAGTCCGGTCCTTTCATGACGGTGTACGTCTCTTCTTCCTCCTCCTCCGTCAAGATGCCACACTCGCGTGCAATGGAACGTGCGGTTAGAGCACTGTCACCCGTGACCATTCGCACCACGATGCCAGCTTTCTGGCAGGACGCCACAGCCTCTCGCGTTCCGGGACGTAGCGGGTCTGCGATGGCCACAAGCGCCAGACACACGAGTTGCTGTTCCAGCGTCTCGGGTGAAGCAGAATCCACAGCCTCGCCGGTCATTTCACTGTCTCGATAGGCCAAACACAGCTTACGGTACCCGCGTCTCGCGTACGTTGCAAGGACGTTCTTCTGCAGCTGTTGGATTTGGACCGTGCGGCTGGAGCAGCTGCGGCTCAAGGCGGTAGAAAAGACCGGTTCAGCCGCCGACTATACGGAAGCACAGGAGAGGTGACACGGGTGGCTGCCACAGGAAGATGGTTAACAGAGCAAATATCACTTCTACATTCTCACAGTATAACCTCTGTCTAACAGGTTATGAGCCCAATGGTTCATACTGTTGCCACGGACGAAGTCCAAGGCACGCCGGAAGCAGAGCCTAGTCGCGAAAGGGCAGGCAGCCAGTACGGCGAAGATGATGAAGTCAAGAAGGCGGACGACGAGACGAAAGGGACGCAGGACAAGCTACTAGACCTACTCAAGGACCTCGCAGTGCGCATGGGACGCCTGGAGGAGTCGCAGGAGCGACAGGAGGAGAAAGAGCGCAAGGGTCGAGAGAGCAGCGTCTTCGGGTCGTCGCTGGGCCTGGGCAGAGCCACGGACTGGCAGGCCCTGGACCAGACGCCGCCGCGGCGCGCGTCGCCTGCCGTCTCGCCGGCCACGTACTTCGGGATGAAGCAACGTGAGTACCGAGATACAGCAGCTAACGTCGAGATGGCCCAGGCGCCACAGCCGGTGCTGCCGAAGCACTATGAGCCGCCGCAAGCGTATCGAGCGCCACCGCCACCGTCGCCAGGACCGGGATTCGCTGGGGTACCTGACACCCGGCAGAGGAAGCTGGGGATCCGGCCGTTCGACGGAAAGGAGCTGTGCCATGGGCTAGGGAGCGGTTTCCTGGCGTTGGGCAAGCGCTTTGTGCGCCAGATACAGCTCGCCGAGCGTGCTAGTGGGTTCCAGTGAACCGAGGACGTCAAGGTTGACATCCTCGGTCATCATCTTAGCGGAATGGCCGAGAGGTACTACAACCAGCAGGTTGAAGGCTGGTGGGAAGAACAGCCGACGCTCGAGCATGCGATGCAGCGGATGCTGCACACCTTCGCCACGAAGATCACACCCGCGCAGAGAATGAAGATGTTCACGGCACCGAAGAGCTCCAAGAGAAGCTGGACAGTGCACTACCTATACCTTGTGGCAGTTAGCGAGGCGTGCGGCGGTGCGGACAACCTGGTCCTAGACAACATCGTGCACTACGCGGATCCAAACATGCGAGTGTCGATGCTGTCCAGGCTGAA